TGGAATTTCTGTATTCTATTTCTAAAGGGCCGCTTAACAGTACTAAAAATCTTATTCAATGGGCCTAAACATTTAATTTGGTCTTAAAAGCCCATTACATTCATTGAAAGCTAGGGCTCAGTAAATTTCATCTTCCTTAAATAGGATTCGTTAATCTGAAGCTTAGACTTTTTAGGGTTTTCAAGTGTGTAAGAGAGTTTCAACGCGGCGGAGCCATGGTTCTCAAGTAATCAATCTCTGTCTCTCTTCTTCGTGCTTCTCAGTTCATAGGAATGCATTCTCGTTAATGTTTGGTGTGAATTTGCTACTACTGAAATGAATCCTTTCCCGTTCAAATCTGTTTATATTTCATCTTCACAATGGTCTGCAATTTGAGATTCGGTTTGTGTTCGGCAATAACTAGATCTGGTTGTTACATTTCGTTTGTGTTTCTGATTGTCTGGTTCAGTATATCCAATTAATTGTGCTTGTCTCTGTTTGAAATCTGGGTGATTCTTTGATTGTTTGTATTCAATTTCTTCCCATTGTTATGCTCCACTATGATTCGTATTGTTGTTCTCTTTTGTTGATCACTGAGGACATTGCAAAATCAGAATGGCTTAATGTGTGTCCTTTTGACTGTGTGTTGAAATGTAGGACTGAGCTTTGCCGTTTCAGTGGACACAAGATTTACCCTGGTAGAGGTATCAGATTTATCCGATCTGACTCTCAGGTACCCCTTTTTTTTTTTTGTCGAATGTGTGCGATTTGTTAAGCGTCTGTTGCTATGTCTCTGTATTGTTTCATCATTTTTGGTTTTCATGATTCATTAGGTGTTTTTGTTCATAAACTCGAAATGCAAGAGGTATTTCCACAACAAGTTGAAGCCATCCAAGCTTTCATGGACTGCCATGTACAGGAAGCAGCACAAAAAGGTTAGAACTCTTTTGTTTGGCTCTTGTTCTATATTGATTCTTGTTTTGGTCTCTGTGACAAGAACCCTGATTTGTGACTTTTTGATCTCTTCCAGGATGCTGCTCAAGAGGCTGTGAAGAAGAGGAGACGTGCAACCAAGAAGCCCTACTCAAGGTCAATTGTTGGTGCTACTTTGGAGGTCATTCAGAAGAAGCGAGCTGAGAAGCCCGAAGTTCGTGATGCGGCCAGAGAAGCTGCTCTACGGTTGGTTTCCTTTTCCCCAAAACATTCACCATATCAGTCTCTTTTAAATCTGAAATGTTAATTGACTCTGAGAATAATATGATGGTTCTGCAGTGAGATTAAGGAGAGAATCAAGAAGACCAAGGACGAGAAGAAGGCAAAGAAAGCCGAGTATGCTTCAAAGCAACAGAAGTCTCAAGTGAAGGGCAATGTCCCCAAGGCTGCAGCACCCAGGGCCGCTAAGATGGGTGGTGGTGGTGGCAAACGTTGAATGGAGTCACTCATCTCTCTTCACTTATCTTTCTTGTTTTGTCTTTTGTTGTCACCAATTATTTTAGTTTTGCACCTATCTTAATATATTGTACTCGAGGTATTTTCTGCAGATTATGAATCTTTTTGTTTGGCCCTTATGTTTCACTCTTGAAATCCGAAAACTATTGAGACAGAATATAGAACTCAGCTCTAGTACA